TACAGCCACACAGAGAGCATGCCAATGTCATGACAGTGTGTGTTTGACAAAATTACGCTCGACGCTCCTCATCAGCCAATCCGAGAAGCTGATCTGGGAGCTGGCAGGGAAACAGACACAGCGCTGCCGATGCAGATTGCTATGATCACGCCTCTGAAACAGTTTATTGAGAAAAACTTTTGTTTAAATAACACCATCCCCACTAGAACACTGAGATGCTTCCCCAGTAACAAATCCTGTATCACCATTAGGAGCCTTCAGTGGCAGACAAGGAATTATGAAGTATACAGAAGCAACTTAAAGATGAGACAGAAAGGGGACATACAAGAGGAAGCTGGGGAGAGCAAGCAGACATGTGCGGTCACAGATGAACAAGACCACAGGCTGTAAGTAAAAGGAGGGTGAGTTAAATGGTAGCATGTTTAGAGCTGGGTAACAAAAAACATTCCTCAATAGATCCCATGCAGGAACAACCTCTGCATCCTTTTCTCATACCCACTGCCAAACAGACACCTCGCCCACCTGTCATGCATCAAATGCCAACAAATCCTCCAGGGACCCTTATTCGTCTATGTGTTCATTATCAGCCAAATCAAAAGACGCTGCTGCTTCCTTTGCCTCCCTCTTCTACCTGTCTGTCTCCAGAAGTCAGGTAGAGACACAGCTGCAGAGACTGAACCAGTCCAGATGGTATCACCCCCGAGTCCTAAAAGCTTGTGCAGAGCGGCTCTGTGGGATTCTACAGTAAGTCTTTAACCTAAGGGTGACCTAGATGCTAGTTGTCAGTGATATGTAAGATCTACTGCCTTGTTCCGGTACCAAAGAAAGCTGAGCTTCAATGACTAGAGACCTGTTGACCTGACATCCCACAACATAAAGGTCCTGTTGGCTCACCTGTGCAAGCAAACAAGCAACTGTCAAAAACGACTGCAGTTTTATGGCGTTTGCTGTTTAGTGTGGCCTTCAGAATTGGTGTCTGAGTGCCAAGTAGAGCCCCAACATATTTACTTTCACAAGCTGAGCATTGCAGCTTGTACGGCAACAAAAAAGTATAATAATGATATATAATACATTTAATTTCTAATGCATTTTTCATAAGTAAGATCTCAAAGCTAAAATAAGTGAAAGCTAGAACATATTCTCGGACAGATGGACAGACAGAAAGATAAACAATAATATATTAACATTTATAAGCCTTTGTGAATAAGAAATTTCCAGCCCTGTTTTTAAAGAGTCAAGGCTCTGAGTGGCCCTCAGCTTGATAGGGAGGCTGTTCCAGATAGTGTTGTCTAGTAAAAGGCTCTCCTGATGGAGAGCCTGGTGATGGACTCTTGGATGAGCAGGGTATTTGTTGATATGAGGGTGTGGTTGGTGACCTGTAGGGTAATGAGTTACTGAAAGTGTAGAGGTGCATGTCCTTTGGTGCATTTATGGGTGAGTAGTAGAATTGTTTTTGTTGACCTGGGATGAGATGTTAAGCCAGTGCAGTGATTGAAAGATTAGGGTGATGTGACCTGGCAGCGATGTTTTTGATATATATTGCAGCATCTGGATAGTTTTGTCAGGTATCATTAGCATAACAGTCTAGAGAGAGTCAATGTTTTCTGATGACTTCAGCAAGGGGACGCATGCAGCTGTTGAAAAGAATGGGGCAAGGAATGACCCCTAACTGGAGGAAGGTGAAACAGAGCGGCCTTTACTGACATCCACCATGCAAGACGCATCTGAAAGATAGGAACACAAACCACTGCAGTGTGTGGTCTATAAGTTGAATGATGCCATAGAGATGCTGAAGGAGAGCGGTGTGGTCTACTGTGTCAAAAGATGCTGTCAGATTCAGGAGGATGAGGATTGATGGAGCAAATACAAATACATAGAAGATTAAGAATATCTGGCAGATTTGTTGGCATTTGATGCATTAAAGGGGAAACTCAGGTCAAAGGAAGGTGAGGTTTCTTAGGCAGCTGTCATCAGAAGGTCATTTTTCATTGTTAGTACAGGCATTTCAGTGCTGTAGACTGAACAAAAAACTGACTGATATTTTTCAGATTGTTAAGAGTGAAGGCTTCTTAGTGGCGCAGTGGGTAGCACTGCTGCCTTGCATCAAGAAGATTCTGGATCCGATTCCCAGTCCAGGGTGTTTTTACATGGGGTTTTCATGTTCTCCCAGAGCATGCGTGGGTTCACTCCGGGTACTCCTCCCACAGACCAAACACATAACTGTTAGGTTAACCAGCTTCTCTAAATGCTCCTTAGGTGTAAGTGTTTGCATTAATAGTTGTTTGTCTCTGTGTTGCCCAGCAATGCACTGGCGAGCTGTCCAGGGTGTACTCCACCTCTCGCCCATTGACAGCAGGAGATAGGCACCAGCACCCCTGGTGACACTGTTTGGGATAGGTGTGACAGAAAAAATGAAATGGATGCATGTTATGTGTGAGGTAGTCCTGAAGCTGCATGGGAAATGTTTATTAAAGTACCTTTGAGAGAAAGGGGAGGTTTGAAATGGGTCTGTTGTTTGCAAAGTTGTCTGGGTCCAGGGAGAGTTACTTCAAGCAGGGACGAATGACAGCAGATTTGAGGGAAGGAGGAACTTGAGAGGTTTGAAGTGAGAGGTCTAAGCAGCAGGTGGTCTGCTTCATTCCTCTGATGATTTTTTTTAATGTAACTCTGCTGAGCCTGAGAGGAGCAGGGCTGGATGGCATTCTCCACATACATTTGGTCGAGCAGAGGGAGAGCAGGAGCCAGGAAACATAGAGTAGAGTAGTTGACATTAGATCTAAAAAAGTTTATGAATCTATTGTGTTGCTAAACTGTAGCTTCAGTTTAGTGTTTATCAATGTCAAAGAAATGTATAGGGTGCAAGTTAACATTAGGTGCAACCCCAGCTCTATGTAGAAAATAACTTTATATTTGTAAGCACCTGTATCAAAACAACTATTTTATATGTGTGAGTGTATATGTTTGTATAAGGTTTCACCATATGAGTATTCATGAGCTGACACAATGAGTCACAGACCAGCCACCCAGGCTGTGAGGCAGACAATGAGGTCATCACTGCCAAAGACAAACAAAGGACCCCCAGAGCAGGGTAGTACGACTGGAACCACTACAAGAAATCTCACCATTTGTTTTTACTTTGTACACAGCTGACTTTCAGATGCTGCATATCGTCACCCTATTGAATGGCCATAGGAAGTGGGCGTGCTGGGGTGCTGAAGCACCCCCTAGTAGCAAGAGGGAGATAAAAATTTAAAAAGTTGGTTGTGCACTGAAGTGTATATGAATCTCCATCTATGTAGTTATTTATTTTTATTGTTTATTGTTTTATTTTATTTTTATAAATAGGCCTATAGGCTCAAAGGTATTTTGTCCAAAAGCAAAAAAAATTTCACGGCCCTGCTCGGTTGAGAGTGTGATATCTTCTGCAATCATCTGTTAGAGTAGTAGCAACAAAGCAATTTACTTAAAAGCGTTCAACAAGCTTATGAAGAAGGTTCGGGATGTAATCTAAAACCTCTTGAGTTGCAACATTAAAGGTCCCATATTATGCAAAATTCTCTTTATAAACATTTTGAAAGTCACGTGTGTCCTGAAGCCTGTGTATGAGGTTCACAAATGGAAAAAAACAAAACATTTACCTCTCTCTACCTAACTCCGCCTCTTAGCTAATGTGTGCTCAAAATGCTGTTTCGAAAGTCCTGCCCTTAATGAAGTCACTCCTCCCCTAACTAAGCGCGCCCTCTAGCAGGCACTATCTCTCTGCTCACCAACACAGAGAGAGCGTCCAAAAAGACATGCTATGCTAAGAGCTAAACAAAGCAGCTCCTCTGTTATTGGCTGCATCAACAAGGCAAAATTATTTTTTACTGCCTTCATCTGTGCCTATGAAGACTCAGAGGATGGATTTCACATCTGTTTACTGAGCATTTTAAAGAAGATTACTTTCACAACATTGGCTCTAATAAAGCTGGCTTCTTCACAAACCTTAAATTGAAGAGTACATCCATACCAGCTGTCCATTACAGACCTTTAAAACCTGGGAATAACTTTACTGTGTTGGACTGCTTAGCCTGGTAGCCTGCAAACACATCAGCATATAAGCATAGTCTTTTCATAACAGGATATCTGCAGTAATTCTGATTGTGTGCTTGTGTTAAATTTAATTACTTTTGTAAGTAGCAGATAGATGAGGTATCTGCTCAGGCTAATTGGCTACTAGGCTACTGGGTGTACTTGTTTGTTTATAATTAAGGTTGTTCCATCATTACGAACACCGACTTTTCATGGTTGTGGGTTTTTGAGGTCCAGCCTTTGAGAAGGCGAGGGTATGGAAAGCCGAAAGCCTCGTTTAGAAGAGGGCTGAATCAGGAGATTATTGGTGGATGTTGTGAGTCTAATCTGCTTCACAAACAGCAAAAGCATGCTCATTAATAATTTCTATTTTCAAATGCAGCAGAATTTGGAACCTTTAAATTTACCTTTACCTATAAGTATTTTTGCATTGAACATATGTTAATTTTTTCTGCATTTGAAGCAGTTGGTCCATTAGTGGCGCTGTGTGAAGTGGAAGCCTAAACTTTAGTGCGGTGGTTAGTGGTAAGTTCATCACTTGCTTATAGACCGTTAGAGAAGATTGGCTTTTGTATTGCTGTCCGCTAAAAACACCACAACTTGTCCAATCTTTAATCTGAAGAGAGATGATGAGTCCTTTGGTTAATTGATGTATAGATAGTAAGTTTAAATAGAGCAAAACATTACTTTTTCAGAATTGTTTGAGATCAAGAGCAGTTACATTTCATGTGAAGTCCCTACAGGAGTCTACAAACATTATCAATAACTGGTGCAAGATATTAAAGGTCTTTTACAGATTGCTGATTCCATTTCTGTTCTCATTTTTCCATAGTTTGGTTCCCTGCATGCAATAAAATCTCCTCAGGTTTATAACCCTGGTTATGTTGCATAAATGTTAGAAAGCCTGTTTCTCGGTCAAATAAACATTATTCATTGACACCCTCCTTTTTTATTGTTCAATAAACATTGCACAGGGACACACACTGTTATTTAGAGCCTACTAAGCTAATAATGCTTATAAAAGTGATTAATATGAAGCTGCAAAGCACATTAAAGATCTCTGTAAATTCAGATTCCAATAAAATGAACAGGGGAGAATTTAAAGATATTTATTTGCAGTACAAATACAATACCAGCAGAAGTCATTGTTAGGATCAAATTTTGTTTCATTGTTTAAATTAGCTGTGGTGACAAAAAGCCCAAAGCCAGTGAGCATAAAGTGAAGCTCTTTGTGTTCAGAGCTGATGAAGCAGAGTTTCGTCCTGCAGGAAAGAAGTAGTAGAATTCATCACAACTGAGCTCATGCTGATTTGACACAAACAAAATAATTACCAGAAGAATGCTCGCCACACTTTTCTAAAAAAAAAAAAACAACACACATACCTCTGAGCTCCATCAGGACGTCTCCTTCATACCGTGCCAGGTCAACAGCATGCCTCTGCTCCGCGTCCAGCTCTGCCCACTGCTCCTCTGTCACGGCCCACGCCTGCTCCACACTCAGCCATGATAACTGTTCTGCACTGAACACCACCTGTGACACAAAACAAAGAACGTTGTGAAATTGTGGGCGAGATATATCATCCTGAAAGGCTAAATTTCAACTAGCCTTATTTCACCCTTTTCAAAGGAACCTTTGGGGGGGGTTATATAAAAAATGATATAAAAAAATAAACCATTTTGATTGTTGGAAAACAGAACTTATGAAAATTAAATCTGAAACAAGATCTAAATATTCATTACATAAAGGCACAAAGACTTTTCCACTGAGCTGTAGGGCTGAGGATGAGAAGGGACAGAGCTGCTGGGAGGGTTAAAGGTTGTCATATCAATCCATGCGTTTTAGTTTCATTTTAATTAGTTTAAATGATTTTTTTTACCTATCTTTTAAAATCCTGTAGTGTCCTGTAGTGTATATGTGTGAAGAGATGGGAACTGTGGCTAAATGCAAGTCATTGGTCCGGTCTGCTTCTCCCTGCTGGACTGATCACAATATTTGTATCTGAACATATGTTGTACAATTTAAGTCATGAATCCAGAGGAGAGAACAGAGCAGATGGTCCATCAATAAATTGATTCATCACTATAAATTAGAACATTAAAGAAAATTGATCAATTTAAGCATCTTGATTCCCTTAGTAAAACACATTATATAAAGTAAACAAAGAGAAATTAATGCTTTCAGACCTTAATTCTTATTGATAATAAAGTTTCTCTGTTTACAACCTCTATAAATATGACATTGAGGATCAGAATATTACATCAGACCATTACAAAAATAAATTCTGAAATGCAGGCCTTAATGATAAGTATATTTGATACTTAAGTATATTTGACTTTTTTCAAATAATCCCTTTTTTTCAAGTATATCATAAATTATTTTATCCCCTCATGGTTGCTCATTAAATAGACCCCGTCATCAATGAAGGTCTGTAAAATCATTAGATAAATTGATAAATAAAAATAATCAGCTATAAATGAATTTGAATTAATGCTTGAAGTATATATTTTTTATAGATTTTAAAATAGTTATAAACATTATCAGTCAATGTTTGAGAATGATTTGAGGAATTTATTTACTCTTTTTTATAAATGTAGAAATAATCATTTGGGAAATTCATAAACTGTGACCCTTGCTGTATCTTTACTCCAAGTTTGCAGCTTTTAAAGGTTAAGTTAACTTTTGCTGCTCCCACCATAACATCCCTGTTAGCCAGCTTTGATATTGCAGTTTCATTGCACAAACAGCTTTTTAATAACAATTGTAACTCACTGCAATTTTTTTCGGAGACATCAGTGCCACAGCTTCGGGGGTGATTCCCTCCATTTGTTCTCGCAGCAGAGCTGACAGCACTATATCAGGCAGACCCGCTGGAAACAGGCACAAACACTGTAGTCAGGTGAATGATGTTCCTCCTTTACTTTAAGCCTCTGGGATCGTTTTAATTGGACCTATCCTTCCAAGAGCTGCCATTTCCAGCTGTAACCCCTCTTGCTCTTTGAAAATAAACGAATTTGAAAAGTTTGTGCACAGAAAGTTTGCACCCTGAGGGATTCTATGCTCCACTGTACCTGCAAGTGTCCCGATTTCAGTGAAAATCTCAGGCCCCCAAGCACTGACAGGACCAAAGGCCTCTGCTCTGGCCAGGCAGTTTGTGAGCGCCTCCATCTGCTGCTCTGTACACGGCAGGGTCATTTCCCGCAGGAACATAACAGCTACACTGCAGGTTGAGAGGAAAATATTACACACATTATCTCCTTTTGAGTAAATGCAAGATCCCTGACTGAGGTTTGAAAGTCTTTGTTCATCCTCCCCAAAGCAGATTACGTATTTATATGACATAGATGTATTTCTAAGACTGACCTGAGGTTGTATGGGCTCAGGCGTTTGATCTCCGAGGCTTGCAGACCACAGATTAGATGGCCCAGCGTTGCCAAATCAACAACCGTTAAATGCTCCACTTTTAGTCTGCTCCTCCGCATCACACTTAAAACCACTGCTCTCATCTGAGAAAGGTAAACATATCTGAGCATTTAATAACTATCACTGAATCAAAGGTATAGTGGCGGATATTTGACATAGTGTAAAAATTGTAAATCTTCTTTTAGGTGGTAAGCTTATTTTAAACACAGCGTGAACAAGGAGAAATTGGCTCATGCAAGCTCTCGCACACGTTTAATATGCTTTCCCTCCCAGGAGCAGGTGCAGGGTTGTGCATGTGCATTTTTTTTTTTTTTTTTATGTAGAGAGGGCGGGTCTTTTCAAAAATTCGCCAAAATCCTACACTATACCTTTACGCTTTTATTAAGTTTTACATCTGGATACAGGATCATACCTTTCGAGGAGCCCAGTTCGTCAGTGTGCCCAGATGTGCCAGCACACCGAGATCAGTAAGACTGGCATCCTGCAGCTCTCTGTCCCCCATTTCTGTGACCACTGATCCAAGAGCTAACACCTGATCCACTCTCAGCTCCCTCACCGGACTGAAGGACTGTATTGAAAGAAGCACAATGCATCCAAAGAATGTCAGAACATTTCGGCTAAAGCTTGACAACAGCTGCAAAAAGATAACATTATCAAAATAATGGGGGGTCTGTAGCAAGATTTGAAAAATCAGGTTTAAAGATGGTTTATATCCTATCTGACTTATTTTTTACAAAGGGTGATTAAGGAGCTGGTAGAGACAGACTCTAAAAGAAACAACAGCTACCCAGGATGGCTTTTACAAATGCACACTACCCTACAGGTTTAAAAACTATTTATGCTTTTAATTTGACTTTATATCTGTTTCACACTTTTTGCTGATCTATTATAAAGCATTATAATAATACATTGAATGTGTGGCTGTGAAATGGCATGTTAAAATGTACTAGAGACTATTACAATATGTTTTTACTGGTATTATGTGGTAAATCTTGATTAGCTGTGTGTTTTAGTGATTTTATATACATTAGGGAGGGATGGTGTTGTGCTGCAGTCAAAGATTGGCTGCAGCCTCTGGAGATCTCTTAAAGAGATGCGAGCTAGCGTCTGTGTTATCAGCCCTACAGAACATACCGAATTCAACATGTCGTAGGAGAAACGATGAGGGCAAACTTCTTGCAGATTAAACCCTTACAAAGTGCTGTTAATGCTTTATGGTCTGATGTTTGGTAGGTTTTTCTGACCTGCCTGAGTTTCCCCCACAGCGCACATCGCTGCTTGGAGCTCAGAGACGGATCCTGACCAAAAACTTCCACACAATCCCTCAGCTGATCTACGGACATACGGCGGAGCTGGGTGGGGGTCCAAGCTGAAGGGAATGTTCCTCTGATGTCTGCACAGCTGGGAGCTGGCACTGATAAGATCACAAAAGTTTTATTGTAAATCTGATTCTATAATGTACTTTATTGGGCTTATCTAGAGAATGTGTGGAACCTTTTGCCCTTCTGCTCCGTGCTTTGACAATTCCTCGAATTAGGCTCCAGGTTTGCTTTCTGTGGTACTGTTGGTCCACACACCGACTCATACAGATTCCACCGACCAGACTCTTCTCCCAAAACTTTTGACTCACAAGAACCTGCTCCACTGTGCTCTGATTTAACACTGTCTGTTAAAAAAAAAAAAAAACAAGGTCATATACTCACAGAAAGAATTAATCTTATTTACATTCTGATTTATAAAGATCCTTTTATTTGATTATCTTACCAAGGGAATTGAGTCAATCTGTTTTGTTGAGAGACCAAAGACCAACCTGCCCAGATGCTCAATATCCCCAACTTGCCATTTGGATGGATCTCTGGCAAACATATTATGGTTATTATTATTTTATCAAAACAATATCCATACATGAGCATACATTAGAAATGAAAACTGCAGACAGGAAAGGTCACCCAGTCTCTCACAGGAAAAAAAAAAACACACACATACTCACACTCACTGGCAATTTAGTGAATCTAGCGATCATGTTTTTTGGAGTGAGAAAGGAATCTGGAGAAGCCACACATATAAGGGAGAACATGCAGTCTGGAGAAAGAACCCAGGTTGAATTAATACGTGGATCCTTGCTTTTATTCAATACAAACTGAAAAGTGTTGCATGCATATGTACAGTTCTGGTCCCCAATACAATTGATTAAAGTTTGTGGCTTTAACCAAGAAGTTAAACAGGAATACTTGTCCAAGGTTCTGTATGTGCAGTTAACAAATGTTCTCCTCAGAGAAACCAGAATCTATTGCAGATAATGTTTTACCCTAGCAGGTCTGTCCGAGTCAGAAGGTCACTAATGTCTCTGAGGGCTTCTTTGGGAAGACAGAAACTCCTCATCTCTTCCAGCCGCAGAGCCAGTGCTCCTCTGTCCACCAGAGCCAGACTGTCTCTGTCCAAGAAAGGCAACAGTGGCCCCAGGACATCCAGAACAGCCCCATCAATCTTCTCCTCAGCCAGGGAAGAGTCCTTTGGGACAGAACAGACATCCTGGATTAACTCAAGTTCACAATGTTTTATTCTACCTGAGTTAAAAGCTGTTGAGAGGAAGAAACTGCTTCTAACTCTCTTTCTCCTTCTGTTTCTTGAATTACTATTTTTAGACCATCACATCACAGCTCCCCATGACTCACCCTGATGTCTTACCAAGAAAAACTTTTCTAAGTTGGCTTTTATTATTATCATGAGAGCATTTTACCTCTTCAGTTACTTTACCACAGATTTTTTATTTTCCTATCTCACCAATTAGTGATAAGAATTACACCACCATCTGGTTTCTTTGCCTGAAGCATACTGCAGTTTGCAATAATTCTCACATCTTGCAGTAACTAAAGTACTTATGAAGTTTACATAGACACCTTACCAGCTCAGATAAGGCCTTCTCAGCTAAATTTGTCTGCTTATAGTGAGGCAATCTCAGGAAATCAAGAAATTCAAGCTGAATGTGGCTCAGGATTCCTCTGATAGACGTATTAGAGAAGTTGTCTACCATTGTCACTCTGGAGAAGAGACAAAAGGGTTCAAAATTATGGGAGAAATATCCTATTTCCAGGTTAAAATACATAGTTTACTTACGGTAAGGTTGCTGCAAACCCAGAACTCAGAAAACTGAGTTCCAGTTCAGGTTGTTTCCGCAGTTCGTCCACAATGCACTTTTGCTGATAATGCAAAAAACAAAACAAAAAAAACAGCCATTAACTCTGAACTGTTTGTGCATTCGCTTTGAACATTGCCTTCCATGGCATTGTGGAAGAGGTTTATCTCTTACCAGAGCAGGTCTTGGACCTCCAGGCAGTTCACTCACAAATTTAAGTAACTCAGTAAAATCTGTGTGGTTGATCCAACGCTTTAGAAAGTCACAACTCATTCCAGCGGCAATATGACCCAGATTTCTGTTGGCAGCAGAGAGGTCATTGTTGATTATAACTGTGTGTCTGCACTGAAAGTCAACGTTTGGAGTGTTTATGCTGCAGGTCAGACTTACTTCACCATCTTGATAGTGACGTTTTTGAATTCATGGATCTGTCTAAACAAAAACTGAGTCTGCAAATAAAAGACACTATTTAATCTATTGTTAATTACTGTTCATATGTGAGTGAAAAAAACCAAATAATTATACAATGTAAAAGAAAAGAGACACAAAGATTAGGATTTCATGTACAATATATGTTTTTGTGTTTCTTCCACCTGTTTGTTTGGGTTGCAAAACAACAGGAAGGGATCGTAGACATAATCTTAGTGTCTTTATTCTCTTCTTCAAGGTAATCCCAAATTTATTGTCCAGAAAGACTATAAAGTATTGTCTCTCCAGTAAATTCTGGGTCATCCCAAAAGGTTTTCTTCCAGAAGAAGATGCGGAAAAGCAGCAGCTCTGCTATGGGCCTTCTGTCTAAGTCCATCTTCCCATTGGCATGATCAGACTTTTTGAAGGGCAGGAAAGGAAAAAAAAATAAGGTGCCCTCACCACTGTATAGGGCACTGTAGCACACATATTTACTCCAGAGAGAGGAGGGATCTTTAGCGTGCAATTTCAAAATTTTGCCCCATAATGTGCTTACCATTGCCTCTGCCTATCTCTAAGGCTGAGGCCATCTACCCAGAGGAAGCTTATTTTTTATTTGAGATCTCATCCTTAGGGTCATGATCCATATCTTACCAGTCTAGACGACGGTCAAAATGCAGAGTAAAAATTAAGTGCATTTTTTTTGTTTGTTTTTTGGTTCCTCTCTTTCTTCATCTCAGTAGACCAAAGCAATGTCTGCATTATTTCCTGATCAATCTCTGTTTTAATCCCCCAGCCTACCATCTCTGGTGAACACTTCTAAGTACTTAAACTCTTCTGCATTGGGCGGCAGGAAACCTAACAATAGGGATTAGGCCACCTTTCTGTGGGTATTGCCACTGACTGTGTAGCAGTCAGAGCTAAGTCTATGAAACATACCTTGGATAAATTAGGAATTTCAAACATAGTCTCACATACACTGAAACAAAGCAACCCAGGTATGATAAAACGCCCCAAGGGGAGCACGCTTTGGTTGCCGCAGTGGTTAGCGCACACAACCCATGTACCGGTATGTAGGTCTTAGTCCTCAACGCAGGCAACCCAGGTTCGAATCCTGTGGTCCTTTCCTGCATGTCTCTCCCCCTCTCTCGTACCCCCTTTCCTGTCAGCCTACTGGGCATAAAAAAATTAGCCACTTGTGCCGTAAAAACACACAAAAAAAAGAAACGACTCCTCTAAAGACCCACAAACACATGTGGACCAGACAACCAGAGTCCAATAAGGAAGATGATAATGATCTGGTCCACTGATCAAAGGTCAGGATATCACCCACTAAGTGTGAAATCCCTGAAACATCTGACTGTTAAAGATTCCTTTCAGTATGAGCACGGTATATTATTCATCAAAAGTGTGGCGTACATTTCAGCACATGTGAAAAGGGTAATCTTTATTAAATTAATTCAGGTCTTGTTAGTCTGAGAACAGGTGGTGAAAACAGGCTCATACATTCCTGGCTGTGATAAAAATCCCTTTAAGGCAGCCATTATTAATTTATGCCACACTCCAGCACACTATTGTACTACATCCAAAGTAATTAGCTTGATGGCAGCTGATGTGAACGGAGGATTAATATCCTGAAAGGCTCATCTGAAGCATATCCAATGGGTTGCAGATTAAAGAGAGCAGGAATCCAGCCTAGGAAGATTTTCTTTTTTATCCACTCTTGTTGTTTCAAAGAAATGTGAGGCTGCACACAGTCGGCAGATTATAGGAGAGTGTGTACCTGCTGAGGAGACCACTGTATGTCTCTGTATGCGCTGATGCCTCTCCAAATGGTCCCACCATTCATGGCCTGTATCAGCTTTCTCAGAGGGACAAAGGGAAGCAGACAGTTTGCCTGCTGAGTGAAGTTCCTAGAGTCTTTAAGGAGAGCCTGCCAGCAAACAACCAAAGAAGAAAAAACTATTATTGCTACTGTTGAGACGTCATCTCATCTCAATTAGCCGCTTTCTTTGCATGGCTTTGGCACTGGAATAAAAAATTTAAAAAATGCTGTACTTCTAGAAATCATGCCACATAACATAGAGTCCTCAGCAAAGCACTAGTAGGAGAAGAAACTGAGAAGTGGTGTTTTAAGGGAAAAAAGTACCATCACCTCCTGCATGGCATTGAATAACATGGCTCTGTGTCCAGGCTTAAGATCAGTTTGGAGTGTTCTCCAGCACGGACAGTGCTCCTCACTGAAATCAGACCAATGGAGGTTTCTGAGCACAGCAGGGAAGAGACCAGAGAGTAACGGCTTCAGGCGGCACAGGTTTTCCACAGTAAGCTGGCAGGAGGAGATGGACACTGTGCTGAGATCGCAGATGGCTGAATGTCAGTACAAATGCTTTGAACATTATCACTTACATTACTGTCTTTTGTGATCTTGGATAAAACCTGAAATGCCTGAAAAACAAAATAAATGACACCTATTAAAATTTAAATGTATTTATAGTATAATACCTTACTCAGATTTAAAGCAATGTAATTCCATTTCAAAGTATAAAATTTTTTTTATGTTTTTTTATATTGAATAAATGTGTGATCTTTATTAAGATTAAGTCTTGGATTTAGGTCTGAACTTTCGGCCATTGTCACACACAAACACTAAATGCTCATCTTGTTCTTTTACCAAATATAACCACCTTCCTTGTTCCTTCTAATGAAAAACATTCTGATCTGTGGATGATGGGTGTTTTTGGTTATGTGTGGTGTTAGCCTTTTTCCACACTGCAAAAACGGTCTAAAATAAGTAAAAACTTCTTAAATTAAGTGTATTTACCAATAGTTTGAGTAGGTAAGTAAGATGATTTGCCCATGGAATTACTATTTTTACTATTAGGATAGGATTAGGATCCTAATTGGGATTAGGATACGATAATTAGATAATATGCACTTGAAATAAGACAAAGCAATTGCTTTTTCTTAAATTTAAAAGTAAGCTGTCTTACAGTTGTTCCACTGGTAACGTGTCTCACTTCCCTTCTCAATAATTAAAAAACAGACTTATTTTAAGAAAAAAAATCTTTAGATTTATATTTTTGCAGTGCACACTTTGGATTTAGCATGCAGACCAAAAGATTACATGATTTAAGCAGAACACCTTTCTCTAAAAAGCCATCAATATTTTAATCTTACATCATCTAAGAAAAGAAAAGCACATTTTTTTCAGTAACAGTAACCTGGTGGGGTCCTACATGGGGCCAACATAACATTGCTGTGCTTAAGTGAGTGCCCTGTGTCCTTAAGATATGGGTGAGCCTTTAAATCTGTACCAAAAGAGCTAGCTCCTCTGTGCTGGATCTGTTTATGTAAATGCTGTTTATTTCCTCAAGTGAAACATTCTGAACATTCCTCACTGTACTGGACTGCATAAAACCCACTGAGCTTGTTTTGAGGTGGTGTATTCTTGGGATGAGCCAATCTCTGTCTGGGACAGTTTAAAATCAACCAAGAAGATTATGCATAGAGAATATCCAGAAACTCTCCATGCACACATGATACATGACATTTTCACCATTGACATTAGAGACTGACACGGGAGTGGATTTTCACTCCTCTCCCGTCCCACTCCCACAGAAAAAAATTGTGTCCCGTCCCGATCCCGGGCCAGAGTAGAAATCTAAATCCTGTTCCGTCCCACTCCTGGTGAAATTACTCCCACTCCCATCCCGCTCCCATTCAGAATGACTCCCGCTCCCGCACCACTCCCATTCTTGTTGTTTTTGAGTGCGGGTGAAAAACTCAGAGCGGAAGCACTGTTGGTTTTTGGGTCGTGTAGTTTTTTTGACTCGCATTACAGTGTAGGCTTCAAGGAAAAAAACTATAAAACGGCGGCGCCAGTACTGGATTTTTTTCTTTCTATTTTATTTTATTTTTGGCATCGATCCTCGTTTTTTTTAAGTTACTATTGGTTTGCTCCCGCTCCCGTCTGCTCCCGTTAATGTTTAATCCTGTACCGTCCCAATCACGTGATCATTACTAATACTGACTCCCATCCCACGGGAATCCCACGGGAATCCCGTGACCCGTGGGATTCCCAAAAAAATGTCAGTCTCTAATTGACATTTTTTTCTTTCCACAAATACTAAACAAAGTTTTTTTTTATCGAGCCCATTTTATCATAAAGCCTATTAAGGGTATCCACAGGTTTCTTGGTATGCCTATGTTTTGCAGTGGTCTAGCCTCGATCAATGCCCCAGGCCCTAGACCTGGTGGGCCAATCACAACGCAGAGATGTGTTTTGAATTTTTGGATGCAAAGCAGGCGGGGTTTTAAGGGCATGACGACAAAGCTGCATGACGCTGGAGAAAGCACAACAAGGAAGATGGTAACAACTATTGAACAGTTCTTGTTTGACTCAGCTTAGGAATCAGTTTAGGAAGGATTAGATTTGGAGTTTTCGTTGAAATGTGTGCAGGAAGAGGCTCTACGCTAATTCATTTTTAAGAAGGACTTATTCGCCTTTTTACCAAAAGCCGTTTCACATGCTGTTTGTTTACTCTTCCCCACCAGCTTTCTGTCACGCTTACTACGTCACAGTCGTGCTCATTGGTCAGAGCGTTGGCTAATAGGCACTGACATGGTTTGAAAAACAACGGGTTGTTCTCATCAACAATCTTCCGATGTCCCATTTATCAGGGCCAGACTAAATTACACATTTAATCTCACATTTAGTCTGCTTTATCAGGCTATCAAAATCAGTCAGATTTTGGAGGAAACAAAGCATTCATATGTGTTCCTCAGGGAATCTTTAAGAAAAGATATGAAAGCTCTCTGATAACTTTTCTTTTATATATTTACTTCAATTTTATATACCAAATGAACTAGAGGAGAAACAAAAAATCATGAAAGCAGAACAGACAAATGCGAAGCTAAAAGTGTGAAGAAGAGTTCCCTCCCTGCTGACCTGAGCTGGTGAATATCTGGGAATTCCTGGCTTTGATAAGATCTCCAGCAGACGTTGCGATGGGAGCGACAGCAGGAAGGAGGCTCCTAACTGGGGAAGCAAACCGCTGAGTGCAGACAGCTCAGCAGAAGTCATGCTGCTAATGTTCAGGCTGGTTGATACTGCTGGGATCAACCAGGATGACAGCTGTAGTGTCCATGAAACACAGTTAAACCGAGTCAGTCAAGCATCTTATAACTTCACATAAAAACACACTCTAGTTGATGCTGCTAGAGGTTGAAATAGCTGGCTGAATGTCTCTCACCCTGCCGCTGGCACTGATCAACCCCTTGGAAATGCACTGAGACAACTGCTGCCAAAGAGCAGAGGACACAGCTGGGTCTTGGAGATTTATACCCAGCTCTGCTGGATCCAAGTAGCACACCAGACCTCCTAATCTGGAAAAATACTTCTTTCATGACCTTGTTTCTCTTCAGCAGTAGCTTCAAACGAATCTTATAAAAATGGGTTTTAACAGGTTTCAAAGCATTTAATGATATAGACAATAAAGTGCATAATGAAAAAAAGATAGGAAATACGATTGAATTTACAGCATTGAAGTCTTCATATAAAGATGTCTACTCTTATTTTTCATTTCTGTACAATAATTTATGTAGTTGTGCTTGAACAACAAAACCATAGATCTGTTTGGTTCTGATCCAGTGTAGGTATTTTCCCCGATAGTCTCAGAATTAATGATGTTAATATGGTGACCTGGTCACATCCTGCTGCAGCAGAGCATCTCCATATATTAAACTCCCATCTACATGCTTAGTAAGACAAGCTCCATAAGGCTGATTTCCTAGAAATTTGTGATTAGTTTATCCATCCATCCATTTTCTTACACGCTTGTCCTAAGTGGGGTGTGATTAGTTTATGCCAAACCTACACTCACCGGTCACTTTATTAGGTACACCTGTCCAACTGCTCGTTAACACTTAATTTCTAAGCAGCCAATCACATGGCGGCAACTCAGTGCATTTAGGCATGTAGACATGGTCAAGACAATCTCCTGCAGTTCAAACCGAGCATCAGTATGGGGAAGAAAGGTGATTTGAATGACTTTGAACGTGGCATGATTGTTGGTGCCAGAAGGGCTGGTCTGAGTATTTCAGAAACTGCTGATCTACTGGGATTTTCACGCACAACCATCTCTAGGGTTTACAGAGAATGGTCCGAAAAAGAAAAAACATCCAGTGAGCGGCAGTTCTGTGGGCGGAAATGCCTTGTTGATGCCAGAGGTCAGAGGAGAATGGCCAGACTGGTTCGAGCTGATAGAAGGGCAACAGCGAGTCAAATAACCACCAGTTACAACCAAGGTGGGCAGAAGAGCATCTCTGCACGTACAGTACGTTGAACTTTGAGGCAGATGGGCTACAGCAGCAGAAGACCACACCGGGTGCCACTCCTTTCAGCTAAGAACAGGAAACTGAGGCTACAATTTGCACAAGCTCATCGAAATTGGACAAAAGAAGATTGGAAAAACGTTTCCTGGTCTGATGAGTCTCGATTTCTGCTGCGACATTCGGATGGTAGGGTCAGAATTTGGCGTCTACAACATGAAAGCATGGATCCATCCTGCCTTGTATCAACGGTTCAGGCTGGTGGTGGTGGTGTCATGGTGTGGGGAATATTTTCTTGGCACTCTTTGGGCCCCTTGGTACCAATTGAGCATCGTTGCAACGCCACAGCCTACCTGAGTATTGTTGCTGACCATGTCCATCCCTTTATGACCACAATGTACCCAACTTCTGATGGCTACTTTCAGCAGGATAATGCGCCATGTCATAAAGCTGGAATCATCTCAGACTGGTTTCTTGAACATGACAATGAGTTCACTGTACTCAAATGGCCTCCACAGTCACCAGATCTCAATCCAATAGAGCATCTTTGGGATGTGGTGGAACGGGAGATTCGCATCATGGATGTGCAGCCGACAAATCTGCGGCAACTGTGTGATGCCATCATGTCAATATGGACCAAACTCCCTGAGGAATGCTTCCAGCACCTTGTTGAATCTATGTCACGAAGAATTGAGGCAGTTCTGAAGGCAAAAGGGGGTCCAACCCGTTACTAGCATGGGGTACCTAATAAAGTGGCCGGTGAGTGTATATATCTTATGAAATTTTGTGAAATTGTCGAGAGGAGCTGCTCTTGGCCGCTGCCTTGAAGCACCGCCATGGAAAATTACAATACAAGAAACATGTTAACAAAGTCCTGGTTTTCGTCCCCTGCGATGGACTGGCGACCTGCCCAGGGTGTACCCCATCTCTCGCCCATAGACAGTTTTAGATAGGCACCAGCATTCCTTGCCACTATGCTTGGGATAAAGCGTGATGAAAAATGGATGGTTTTTGTCCATGTCCTCTGGAAAATTATAGTTTGGCCTTCATTTTGTTTCTTTCTTATAGAAAAGTAAACTTCTGCAGTGTCCTTTGTATCATACCAACATGCACATCCATAGCAACAGTAGAAAGAGCCTACTGTAGGCCAATGATGACAAAGGATTGTTTGGTGAACTTGCATAGTTTGCTAGATCTGAGCCTGTTGGCAGCTGTTTTGAATTTACTAGCTTTGTAGACGGTTTTCTATTGAGGACTCTTTGAATCCCTTTACGTATTATTAAGCTGCTACAATCTTGTGCATAACTTTAGCCATTTCACATGGCAATAAATGTAAGAGTGTCCACAATTATTCCTAAATATCAAATATCACAAAAGAATTAAACTTTTTTTTAAACTTTTTTTGTCTATTGTATTTGAATACATATTATATATAAAAACTAATATAAAATATTTATATGTCCAAATATTATAGTAGAAAATAAAAACAATGTTGTTTAGTGTCCTAAATGTTTCACATGACAATAAATCTGTATAACATGGGGGAGCAGACCTCCAGAAGCATCTTTAAAAGTCCTTAGATGAGCCAAACAGGAAAACATAAACTTTAAAAAAAATCTATCCCACCTCAGCAGGTTGTCACCAGTCAGGTTCTTTCTCTTACTAAACAGGGTCCGTAGAACATGGCGGCCCCTCACACCATCCAGACTGCTGTTGCTTATCAACTCCACCAGAGGAGAGAGCTGAGGATATAATCAGCAACATGTTTAAACTAATCATAAGAAGCCTCCTTAAAAAATAAAAAAGGTAAAAAGTTGAAAATAGAGAAAATACTGAATTTAGTGGGAATTAATTAGCCGTGAAAAGTGATTTTGCTGGATTGAATATTTCTGTTGCCTATCTTTACTTTCAGCTCTAAAATTCAGTATCACTTAAAAAATTCTGATTCTTGCAGTTAGATAATTGGGTCCAATAGCTTTAGTGTAAATAAACTCTATATGTGTCTACTATTCGGTTCTTGTATTGTTAAAAATAACAATAATGTAATGTAATGGAAATGAAATAGAAAAAAAGCAATAAAACAAGTAAAATAACTAAATAGAAAAACTTATGTACAACAAAAACGCGAATAAAAGAAAAATCAATCTCAATATATAAAAAGTAAGAAAGGAGCATTTAAAATCAAGAAAAAAACATTATTAAATAAAATCAGAATATAATATAGCTAAATTATTAATAATATGCATGTAGAAATAATAGAAGTCCAAATTTTATAAACATTGCTCTATAGAGACGTGGTACATATTTAATTACCGTAGATCCTCTAAACACGTTTCTATTATTGTATATTTTCTTTAGCATTCACAAAGTCTTCCTTTCCCAATTTTTATTGTTCTTCCTTATTCAGCAGAGACCTGGAAGTTTTCCTTAAAAGCTTCCTCACCTGTTGTGACGTGAGCTGCTGAAAAAGATGGACTGGGAGGTAAGGCAGAAGCGGGAGGATGGAGCTGAGAAAGTGCGGATGCCACGTGGGCACGTCGCCCACCACATTCGACTGCAGGAGTCGTTTCACAAAAGCCTTCTTCTGCAGGGGCTTCATCTCGGAGCTGTGGTCACGAATGGCTGTCAGGCTGAGGGGCATCAACAGGAGGGCCGTTTGAGAACAGAGTTGCCTTTAAATGAAACATTAAATCCTCTGCTGGTAACTCACACACTGTCGTTGACGATCAAGGAGGCCGGGAAGTTCATTATGTCGGAAACGGACATGAAGGGGATGAACTGAGAAAGGTCCACAAAGAGCTCCGGGGTCACTCTGGGGAACTTGTGTATGAAAGCAGCAGTCATGGTTTCCATGGCCTGCAACTCTTGCTGAGAGGCCTGAAAGGGAAAAATAAAACAGATGAGAAAATCTGAGGCCAATAAACTCCGCTTTTGATTGTCATCAATAGTATCTCTCATGAGAACAACAAGAACAGTGAAGAATCGGTGCTGTGAACATTCCTGCAGAGCCAACCTGGCTGGTTTCAACTTGAAGCTGGTCCCAACTTTGATGCATATGTGAGATAAATCTCTTCACAGCCTCTTTCTCAGCAGACATCACCACAGAACGAATGCTGTCTTTTGGCATCTGGAGATACTCCTGATTAAATGAAATGGAAGTTCAGTGAGCCTAGCAGTTCTGTGAGATACAAATATAGTGGTGAAGAACACCTTACCTGCAACAGAACTCTGAGAGCGGAGGAGTTACCATTTTGCTGGATGAGGTCCCAGAGGACGGGCTGAAGCCACAGTAGAGCAAAGGTTACAGCCTGTTTGTTAATGTGGGAGGCAGAAAAAGAGAAAACATCTTACACTGAAGCAGCTCAGCAGGTCCTCCTTCACAGTGGCATTCTGCTCTCTGCGCAGGAACACTCCCACAGTGTGAAGCACGCTCGTGGAGGCCTCTGGTTGCAGGGTGGCCCAGGACGAGTTGTCAAGGAGACTGGAGAGAAGGATGGCCTGGCCCAGACCCTGTCTTGCCTCTCGCTCCCCCTCATCCAACCCTGAAGAGAGACCCACCACAAAATCCAGGATACGCAGCACATACCCCAGTGCCACAAAGAACCCCTCTCGCTCCCCGACGTCCATCACACACACACTTATCTTGTGCATCAGGTCCATCAGCATCGGTGCTGGCTCCACACACAGCTGGGAGGTGTCAAACTCATACCGTGCTGGAAGCATGTCAAAAATCCTTTGCAGGAGGCATTTATTGCTTTCTTGCTGTGCTCGCAGATCTGCACAGACATCTATAAACTGTGGTGTCAGTTCTACCAGCTGCTGGAAGACTGTAGAGTTTAAACACATGTGCTCTCTAATTCCCTGAGTTTGTCCACAGAATTCCAGCAGGGTGAAGTTGGTGAAATCATCCAGGGTCCATTCCGTGTACTGACAGGGCTCACTGTCTTCTAAGGCAGCTTCATATAAAGTTAGGTTGCCTATTTTGGAGCAGTATGCTGCTACCCAGCTGCCTTCTTCTAGGGCCTGCTGGGAACCAGCGGACCCTGAGCCACACAGAGCTGAGATCAGGAACGAGTTGTTGGGAAGGAAACAGTTTCTGAAAGCATCAGCACTGAGTAACCTGCCACCCAGCTGGGCAAGACAGTCCTCACTAAGCTCTGGAGTCACTTTTGGATCTCCTGACAGCTGCACACAGAGGTCCTCAATGCTTGTCTGGTTAAAGAAATGGAAGTCCTGTGATGCTGCAGCCTGCAGACAGAGGCATGGAGGTTGGCAAAAAATTTAGGTGCAAACAAATAATTTATCCATTTATGGGTTTTTTTGAAAATGCAATGACTTTAATTCTGGTCACATAAACCTTTTACATTTTTTAAGACCCGGCTATGCTGTTGGTAACCTTTAATTGAATTTATGCTGTCAAAATGAACCTTGAAATTTAGGATCTTACTTTTCTCTAAAAACCTTATACTAATAAATAAACGATTAGTAAGTTTGAATAGGGAAAAAATGTGTTTACTTTTACAATTCACACATTCACACAATTGTAAAACTTTTAGTTTGCTTAGAGACATTTTTTTTTCTGTAAGCATTGTGCCAACTTTTAAACTCTCAAGCAAAAGTTTCCCTCATTAAAAATGTATCCTTTACCTGCTGTGCTTTCTGCAGCCAGAAAGAAGAGTTGGAACACACCGTGTTGTTGAATTCATGGGCAAAGAACTCAGTGCAAACATGGACCCAAAAGAAGTCTTGCTCAGCAGCAGAGAGGTACCAGGCTGCATCCAAGCAGGTCGCATGCAGGTCAAGTTCTAAATGAGTTGCAGCAGGATTGCCCGACCCGTTCTCCCCTTCAAATAGTTTGCAGTACAGGAAAACGGTGAAGTTAGAGACGCCTGTCAAGCCAGGGATGGACTCATTACACGCTGCCTCCAGAATTTCTGTGGAAGCGAAGAACTCAATCTCCTTCTGTTTGCTGTTTCTCTCTGTGAACTGTCTGGCACCTGCAGCTGAGGGTTTAGGGGATTGTTTCTGTTTAAAGGAGCTCTGTGAAGAGGGAGCCTTTTTTGAAGATGACTGAGCTGCAGGTCGTGGTGACTGTAATTTCTCTCCCTGGGTGGAGGGGCAGGAAAGAAACGGAAGGGAGCTTGGGAGACCCTGAGAGCTGACCCCCAATGCCTGAGTGTTCCAAATCACATTATGTCTTATCCCCCTGAAAAGCCATGAGCAAAACAGTTATTATAGTATGCCAATTTTTAAACTCTTTGTCACTTCACTCAAATATACTTACCATAAGATCAGCTGTCTTAAGTTCCCTTAAAAAAGAAAAATCAAAGGCAAATATTTGAAAATGGAAGTTAATGCGTGGCATAAAAAGCAGCTGGGGACTCCTGCAGTGCTACTATGACTGATGCTACAGCTTAGCTCAGCTAACAAAGCCCAGGATATAATGTTACTGACATCAATGTAAGGATAAAGGGCTTTGCTGAGTCAACAAACGGGGCTTGCTGTGGCTGAATGAGATAAAGATTTGAAAGCAGTGTCACTTTCTCTGCTGGACCTTTCAGACTCAACATGAGGCAGACTAATTAAGGTCTGCTGAAATGCTTTCATTACTTCCTGAAGTCACCTCCGAGTAAAAAATGCAACATTATTAAAAATATTTATAATTACCAAAGCAGGATTAATCATAATCAGTTGTTTAGTTGTACAAAAAAAGGGAGGATGGTTGATTTTTTTTTTGGAAGCATACATAGCCTAATTAATATAGTCTATTAACCTAAAGCAATATGCATAGTATGGTTGTTACATGTCAGGTACACCGGTCATTGACCTTGACCAAGGCACTTTACAGTAGAACCGCAGCAGTTCCTGGACTGGCATGGCAATCACTGCCCCTACTGTACATAGTTAGGGACAAATGCAGAGGACAGATTTCCCACTGGGATCAGCTTCATAGTCATGTAGGCCACTACCTCGATTTTATTTATTTTGCTCAGGCTACTCGTCAGTCCACAGCTCAACAACTATTGAAAGGGCAATATTATTGCCATTGCTGTTAATATATAGTAGAAATTCTACACATTCAGTCATAAAATGTCACAGGGGATGTATTTAGGGAGTGGGATTATTTCTAAGATTTTTTTAAGAAGGGGGAGACCATCCCCCCTCAACTCGAGTACTGCTCATACTTATACCTACAGCACAAGGACAAACAGCAATTATTTGTTTTCTAACATTTCGCAAGCTTGAAGAAGTATCTCTCTCTCGAGTCTCATTATGTCATGGAGAGTCATGGGTTCGGCTTTCTCTTCTCTTCAGGTCATTCTACGGGTTTTGTACAGGACTCCTGGTTGGAGCCTGAAAGGAACATGATGGAAGATTGAATGTTTGTCTAATGAACAATTTCTTCTCATTTTTACAACTTTATTTTTAATGTAATATGATGTAAGATGCCTGCGGTGATGGTCTACATATTTGTATTCTTTGGTTCTCACCCACAGCCACCTCCAGTTTGGGTCACAAAAGGGCTAAATCGTGTTCTCCTCAGACCAAATCACACAATTCTGTCAGGGTTTGATGTTGGGTTGAGGACCCAAAAGCAGAGGCAAGTTGGCAGAGGTGAATTTTGGTGGGTTTAATGAGGTTTACAGGTACGGAGGCAGGAATCAAAGATCCAACATAAATAACAACGAACCAGAACCAAGGAGACATCAGGGGAAACCAAACTCTAGGAGCCAGGGAGAGACGAGGTAAACAGACAGACGTTTGACGGGGATCCAGCAAACAAGAACTGAAGAGGGAGGCTTTTAAAGGGGACAGAGACAAAGAGAGGGCTAACGAGAGGATTGAAAACAGGTGAGGACAGAGCAGAAAACAGAGCTAGGGAAAGAGGACACAAGAGGGCAGGAGAGGACAACAAATGGAAAACCAAGACTGACAAGTTCCAGTTAAAGTCTCACCCAAACATTTATGTTTATGAACAAAGAAGGCTTTTTTTATTCCACTCATAAATAACATGTAGATAGTGTCTCATGAAGGGAAAGGAGATATGGACATAAAGGTCTATCAAAATATCTAACGATGTACCTGCAATAATTACAGAAATGTTTCTAGGATTTATTTAAAGACTGGGCTGATTTTGCTGTTCGTTTGTTGTTGTTTTTTTTAATTATGTCATTTAGTGCACCTATTCAAAGGCAAATAACGCTACTAAAATAAAACTCAGGATCAAAAGGGTTTCTCTTCACTAGAAAAGATGTGAGTGATATAGCACTGCCCCATTGCACAAACTTTTTGCATTTCTCTCATTTTCTTTAAATTCATTGATGTTTATTGATGCTTCAAATTAATCAGCAGTGGAAATGCTTCTGACAGAAAACACTTTAATTTCAGTAATACTTTCAGTTTATTGGATATTCCAAACATTACTAATTATAGTTTACGTTATCCTGATAGATAAAATGCTTGTATCAATATTATTGCCAAATTGTCTCATGGCTGCTATAGTGTGCACGATGACAAGATAAAGCAGGGTTTTCATCCAGTGTTGTGACCTCCAGACATAAAACAATCACTTTATGAAGTTGTTATTTATTACTAAAATGAAAGTCTTCACCAATAGATAGATGAGTATCTATTTTAACATTTTGTGCAATCTCTCGAATGTGTGCTTGCCGGGTTTGTAGTTTGAAGTGCATCGATCATACTCACCAACGGTGCATCGGCCCTGAAAGTTGGGTTGCGGCACTTCCACCAGGCTGCTCACATCATCAAGTAATGCCATGGTAACTCGTGACACCTTCTTTCTCAGGTTACCATAGACAGAACTTCCCACCCTGTGCAGAAGGCCTCGCCTCAACCCATCCAAACTCTGCACAAGAGCCAGGTTTTTCTCAGCCTGCTGCCCGCTTCGATCTCCCGCGCCTGAACGAGACAAAACTTGTAGCAGGAAGCTTTGCATGGAGTCGGACTCGTCCTCTATTTCCATTGTGCTTTCTTCTGATGTATTTGCTGAAAAGCCTCCCTGCCTTATGGCCTCAGGGGGCACGCTGAAGGGCTTAAAACGTCCAAATGCACTCGGACCATTGCCATGTCCTGCAGGTTCCCCTGCTGGGTGTAAACTGACCACAGGCTTCCAGTTGCGTGTCTCAAGAAATTGCAGCAGCTGCTGAAGCCAGCTAACACTGAAGGTGCAATCGCTACGTCCCTTTAGAGCACAGATGAATCCCTGCAGACCTGCACTGGCCTGGCCATAAGTCCCACTGATAAGAGCCTGAAATGCAGCTTCCAGCACAGCACTCAGTGTGCGCCAGTTTTGAGATAAGAAAGTCAGGATTGGTCTGTGGGGCTGACGCTCTGACAGAGTGATGAGGCTCTGCAGGAGCCCAAGCAGCCAGTCCCAGTGCGGACTCCCTCTGAGGGATAAAAACCAGTCCTGCATCTTAATGCTGGGTCTGGGTGGTACACGGCCATTCCACTGGTTCAGGGCTGCATTGCCTTCAGACTGGAGAAAGAAATGCAGTACCTTCTCCCAGAGCTGTTCCTCTTCCTGCTCTGGGGGCACATCTTCCAGCTCAGCACCCATCTCTTGCAGATACAGAGAAATGTTGTAGAGGAATCCAGAGAGACGGTGTCTGTCTATTGGCTTGTTTAATGAAGGCAGGTTCTTGGTGGGAAAAAGGGTTTTTAAGCCTCCAACAATACCTCTGACCCAAGTGGGCAGAGACTGATCCTTGTTTGTTTCAGGTTGGGATGGCACACCAGCTTCTTTTTTCCACTTTGAGATGATCCCTTTCAGGGGATCATCCCTGTGGTCCTCTTTAGTACTCGCTAAAACAGTAATAAAAGGACACAACTTGAGCTACACACACAGAGTAGCAACATGATAATTACTTTGTCATTAATCTCACCTGTACTCTCACGGATCCCATGTCCAAGCAAAACAATGCAAACTATGATGCTTGCGAATTTAAAAGCGGCCATTCCTGACCTTTGTTTCACCATCGTCATCTCATGTCAGCATGTGCAGCGAAGAATTGGTGTCACATTTTTCTTATTTTTTGTCCCTGTTAATTTAGCAAAAGTTTTGTTTAATTTGCATTCAGTGTTAGTTTTTGTTATGTCTAAATGAGGGGAAAAAGACATTACAGCACTGTGGAGATATTAAAGCTTAATGACTGGGTTCTATATCACCTCGCCACTTAACACTCCAGGCTACTAAGCATACATAAAGGGTGAATAAAATATATTAACTATAATCTGGTATTGTAACTTAATGCTCATTGAAAGAGAGGGATGTTGCATAAAAGACTAAACATATTTTAGATATATATGCAGTTATTTTATTCTATAAATAGATATAGCAAATAGACTTTTTGAACTTACCAGTAGTTAGAATCCATTTTTTTTCTTTAATTGATTTTCAGCATCCTTCTATACTTCTTGTAGCCATCACACGGTGCGCTGCCCTCCTCCTAAGTGGGTCTCTATTTCACTACCGCTCTGACTTTCTCTAGCTTTCACAGGCACCCCTCCCACCAGTGACTACTACTGGCCTCTTATCTTAGCTGTGTGAGGTGCACTGCAGTTTAGTTTAGTTCCTGCAGCTTCAGTTTATTTGAGGCCTTAAATGGGAGATAAACTATTTTTGGTTTTTTCTAACAAACATTTTACAGCTCAAAATACACATGGCGTCTAAAACAACTGATTAGGGAGTTTATTTGGCCGTCTGCAGATTGATGTCGTGGGAAGGTCACAGCTCGCAGCTATATGTGTAAACAAGGTGAAAATCTGGATCATATTAATCACACCCAGGATATCTATCCTGTTTTTGAACTGCCCAGTGTCTCCCGCTGACTGATCCCCTATTGAGCAGGGACTCATCAGGTGACAGTGTTTTTTTTTTGCAGGTGTAGTCTTACCAAAGGGGCTGGGTCAGCATGGCTGTGCAGCCTGTCACTGTTTAGACTCCTCTATACCTCAGTCAGAGAAACGTACAATTGAGCCTTGTGCGGTGGCACAGGAGCAGACTCCCCAGCATCAAAGCGCTGTCTGCTGGCTCTGAAACCCAAGAGGACTAGGTGAAAGGACCACCCCCTGCCTCCACCTGCTTCAGCTCTGTGATACTGCGGCCTGCGCAGGGACAATATCTTCCTCCTGTATTATTGATGCCACAGGGAACAGCAATCACTCAGTGCGGCAGGGCTCGATTCACCACGGGAATAGTCAATGAGAAACTGGATCTAGCCCATACCTTTCTCCTCTCCGTTGGAAAATGTGGTTGTTGAGATTTTTATTTTTTTATACACATGGCGAACAATAAGCATAAATTAGGAAAACAAAAACTAAACATTTTCTTCCAGAAAAGAGAATATTCTCTCTGTTAAACATGTTGCCATGTGGTTGCTCAGTGAATGAGAATCAGCCCTCTCACTGATTTCTTCTGCCTTTGGAACACTTAAAATGTTCATATCCAGATCCATCACATTGTAACAATATATAAAGATAGGCTAAATAAGTACACAAATATGATTTTTTATTTTAAAAACCAAAAAAAGTGTACCCAAACTCTTTTATTAAATCAGAAAGATTAACCCTAACAACCGTTATTTTGTTTAAGTGGTTGACCATCTTCTATATCACTGTGGTGAAGGACCTTTAACCTACTTCTTTTTTGCAAGAGATTCAGAAAATACTTTTGTGCTGATTGTTTTATGTCAGATATAACAGAGTGGACCCCTTACAAAAGATTTCTTCTTTTCTCATTTGTTCACATAATAATTTTGTCATAATGATGTTTTTTGTTTTAAATTTAAGTTAGCAGGTTTTCCCACTGGAACTCTCACAGTGAGGCTGTTTTTGGCCACACTCCTTCTCACTGTAAAATCTTGAACTCTGATCTTAACTGAAGCCTTGGAGGCTTTCGGTACTTTAGATGTTGTTCTAGGTTCTACAGTATGTGACCCCTTACTGAGAGAAGGAAATAGTCGCAGATGAAATCTGTTAGGGGGGAAATGAGTTTTCACAGCATATAAAACAAATGAAAAACTCAGTGCAAGAAGTTGTTGAAATCCTGTTAACTATATGATTAATTTCTGGGACTGAGACAGATGTTCGTATTGTAGAAAGACAGGAGTGAGTTTACTTCCATAAAGCTTTGAGACACTAACCCATTTAAAAAACTTCAGGCACGGTGGTAGCAGCAGGTTATAAATTATTTATGACATAGAACACAATCTGAAGAGTTGTGTGATAAAAAAACGAATTTACTGTACATAATTTAAATGTGCCTACTTATATATATTTGCATAAAGTTTAAGGGATGTGGGATAAAAATATATATATATTTTTTTTATTATTTCAAAAACAGATTCATCAAACCAGCTATGAACTTCTCACAATTACCTAAGCACACAATGGAATGTTTATCTCCTCAACTTATTTAGTAGAAAATTTATAATATAAGGCCTGAATAAATAACATTATTTAAGTAGTAATTAACCACACCTTAACAGATATACACTATAAAAAGACAAATACACTCATTTTAAACAACATTCAAACCATATTTTATTGCATCAAAGAATCCATAGCAGAACAGTTAGGAGAGGATACTTGTCAGGGATCAATATAAGGCTGGGTGACTGGCTCTGGAAGCCTTTTGACGAGGCAAATTAGCACCCGACATCAAAATGTGCAAGGAGTTGTTTTCCTCTGATCCATGATGTGTTAAAACACACCAAAAATCTCTCAGTTGCAAAAACCTCCTTTATTTGCTCCAGGCCTCTGCCACATGCCACTGTCAACCTGCAGGACATTTAACATAAATATATTAATTAAGTCAAGAACTGGCATGTTATGTTTGTAAATCTCATCTATAATCTTATCTGACCTGATCAATCAGAGATCTTTTATACTTTAGGTTCTTAGTGGAAGAATTTGTGGCCTCCAAGCTTTCTTTCTGTGAGCAAAGATTTTTCGGTTAAAGTTTCATATAAATTCACAGCGAACTAAGAAGGGAGACCACATAGGTGTGAATCTATAGTACCTTCTCTTTGTCAGTTATCTCAGCAACAGCAATTTGGTCCAGGTTAGGTGCTGAGGGCACCAAGTTGGGCTGAACCTGGATCTTCTCCAAGCGTTCCTTTGCAGCCTGCAGCTCATCCTCCAGAGGCCTGAGAGACCGATCTGCTTTTTCCTCTGCAATAAGAATTTTCTGGGGGAAGGACGAGCGCATTTCATCCACCTCCATAAAAAGCTGCATAAAGAATAAAAAGTGTGAAATTCATTTGAATGCTGATTACATTTCATCGCACAAATTTTAAAACATCTTTTACCTGATTGAATTTCTCTTGCAGTTCATCGCAGTATTTTCTCAACTCTTTCACTTCCTTTTTTTGAGGAATGCTAATGGGGCCCTGGAAAATACATTGCGACAAAAATCACACTCATTACAGCAACAACAAGATTTGATAGATTAAATGAATACAATAAACATTCTTAAAATAACCTTTGCCATTGGCAAGAATTTTGCTCTCCTTTCTAATCGGTTAAGTTCCCCCTTGGCTTCTGCAACAAGCCCGGTAAGTTCTTCATTTTCCTTCAATAAAGTGGGCAACTCTTCTTTCATCTGCTTCAGTTGACATGTCATTTTAAAATGTTGTTCCTTGGATGGGGAAAAAGACATGGGGAATAAAATACCGTACAAGAAATTGACAAAGGACTCATAAAGGTTAAAGTTTTAACAACTTACAAATATGTAAATAAGCAATTGGTAACTAAAAATAGTGAACTCTCGTTTTTTAGACTATTACAAATAACAAAATCTGTTTCAAATAGCATATCAAAAATTTATTTTTACTGACATACCTCCAAATCCGTAATTTTGGAGCAATTGTCCCTCTTCAGAAAAAAATCCCTTGCATCATTTAAGGCTCTTTTTTGGTCTTCTTTAAGTTCATTAATGTACCTTCCCAATTGAAGCTTTCGCGCAAAGATTCCACTTTTCCTTTTGATGTCAAGTTCCTGCTGCAGCTGCTTTATATCTGCATTACTTTTTCTCGCAGTGTCTAATAAAACAGAGATCAAAAATCAAGTTCAGTAAATTGCTGAATTTAGGAGCTGCAGAATATGGTAGTACATGAGTTACTCACCTGCCAACAGCCTTTCCCATTTTTCCTTCACTGCAGCCATTTCTTTTTCATGTTTCTTATAATTGAAAAGAGAGCCGTTAAATACACACCTAAAATGTCAAGGGAATCCTAGCTAAGCTTCTGTATTGACAAATGTAAATGAATAAAATGAGCAGCAGTAATGATGTGGCAGAAAGTCAATGTGTGCCCTAACCCCTCAACCACTATCTAGAGTGGGGACTTTATAATGCACTTAGTTAACTGACTGTTCCGACAGACGATCACCGCTTTTTACTTCCCATTGGTCACATGACTCCGGTTCCCTGATCCATGCCATCTTTATTCTCTCTCGCCCCAAAACAAATCCCATGATCCCATATCCCCCAAAGATTTCTGGGATATATCTGCTCGTTTAATGAGCATGGATGACCGCTACTTTTCAAGGTACATTGTAGGAAATTAGTGTAAAGGAAGAAAATATTCTAACATAGTTAACTTTGGAAAAAGGTTGGCTTTTCATTTTCTTCCCTCTCCAGGTCCACCCGGCGAGCTGCGTTTGGTAATATGAAAATCAGCAAGGCGTGTTGACATCACAGAATTACAGAGTTTAATCCAATATAAGACAATGCATAAACTTAGAAATAAGACAATGCACAAACCTACACCAGAAACTGCAGAACAACAGAGACATACATTCCATTACCTGACATAGAGAAAAATAGAAAAGAGAGGCAAAGACGCGTCTTTGGAGAGAGCTGGTGCAAAAGCAAAAAAGTGGCAGCTATCTGAATTTTTGCCCCTGTGCACAAAATTTTATAATGTAGATAAGTCCTTCCCTTTAGTATAAGGTCGTCCAGCTTGACCAATTGGAAGCTACTTTGGACACTCAGAAAAACTAATTTACGGCCGGGCCCCCCACTGGATTCTAAGGTCATCTGGCTGTCATGAGATAAAGTTTAACAGAATCGATGTGGAATGTTGAGGGCCCCTTCCTGCCATAAATCTCAAGAACAAACTTAAATTCAGTATTTTGGTTCAGGGAAAGGTTATCTTCACAGCTCAATCTTGCTCTTTTGCACCATTCCACCCCAAAAGATTGAATCCTGCCTTAAACCACATAGAATCAACAGAACATGAGATACAATTCCTTTTTCTCACATATAAAACATAATATTCAATCTAACATATTCAATTACCCCATTAAACATATATCCTGAGCAATTTTCTAATAGTAAACAAAACATTTTCATTCAAACAATTTCAATTTGATTCTGATATTCACACAGATAGTACAACTTTCAATTAAAAAACATGATATTAATACTTAGAAAAATGTCTTAAAAACTAAATGTTAGTGTTTTAACATTCTACATTTTATTCAGTATCACAGCATCTCAGATGTTTATTCTGGAAGACCTTTGATCTTCTGTAAACCAAGGAGACCTCTCCCCTGAGGCTCAACTGTTATTCACCCCCCAGGAGATACTCATTTTAAGGCCTCCTGTGCTTTGAATACTTACCCATTAGTAGTTTTAAATCATTAACACAGCCTTGTTCAAAATTAAGAAATATGTTCAAGTGAGAGTGTTTACACATGCCATAAGATTAACTGTAATAAAGTCTAAAAAAGAATCATTTTTCTTTAACAGTCCCCGTTTTGAGGTCTGAGACATACAGACCTCACAAATAAAATGATTAAGCCTTCTAATAGAGGAACCAAAAAATTATTTAGTATACTAAAAAACTAAAACATTAGCCCAATTTTATAACAGTCCCCTTTTTAAACAACACCTCCTAGGTCCCCTGCCAGGCCATGTGTCTGAAGCTGAACTCCATAATCTAAACTTATCAAATGTATCTTGCGCTGTCCAACAATTTAATACTCACCTTAATACTCACATAAAATTAGAAAACCAAAGCAAGATATCTCGAAATTACCAAAAAATGCTCAGCAGACTCAAAAGACAATACTCGCCACAAAAATTACAATTTGTCAATACAAAACAATAACAACATAAAAAAATACATCATAAACACATAAAAATTACAAAAGACCTTTTTTTTCTTTTTTTTTTTCACAATTCAACAATAAGAAGTTAGAGTTCGTCTCTATGCTCCTTCGATAGTCTTTCAAAAATGAATATGAATTCTTCGTCAGGAAACGATCCAAAAATACGCGCAAAAAGAAACGAATGTTCTTGAAGAGTTCGCAAAAAACGAAAACACGCAATAAAGAGAAGATAAGTTAATGATGATCTTGTAGCTGGATCCTTCACGTGTTCCTCCTCGGTTGTAAACCTCAGGTTTTCACCTGAGTGTCCGTTGCTCACTGAAAATTGGAGTATTATGCCAATTTAACAGTGAGTTTAAGGAGAGGGTGCAATCTCCTTTTCTCAATGGAAGGACACCGGAACAGGATTATTGTGCCTGTCTGGGCCTTTTAAGCCTTGTAATTCAGGAAAATGAAGTGGTTTTGGCAGACTTCTGCCCGGAAATGCAGATCCTCCTCCGCGCTGTGATGGCCCTCAGACACTCCTCGACCGCAGGTTGAGACTGTAGATTCTCCTGTATGCCCTGCAGCGTGCGCCGTGGCTCCTCAGCTGATGTGCACTGACTCCAATGGAACCACGTGTCTCCTTCTCTCTTGTAGACGGACAGCATGAGATGTACTCTCCACGACTCGGTATGGTCTGGCGAAGCGAGGTTCAGACCACTTTCTTTTGATGACCATCAGGCGCACCCAGTCGATTCCCCGAACTGATCCCGAGCCTGGACGTTCCTGTGACGTCTGGTATTTTGTAAATTCTGCTGCCAGGACCTGTAACTCATTGAAGAAATCTTTATGAGATAAATGTGCAAGCTTACCTTTCCATCCTGGAATGCGGGTAGCAGGTCCTGGAAACATCCGTCCTGTCTGGAGCTCATATGGAGAGAACCCTGTTGATTGGTTAATGATTGATCCTACACTTTATGACAGCTTCACTGTCTTCCTTTTGTATTATAAATCTGCTACTTTGGAGTTGTATTTTATCAATCCTTTGACCCTCTTTTTATATAAGGCCTACATGAGAAATGAAAGTTTCCTATCATGTTAAACCCAAAACTTAACTGTATTTTAGAAGCAGTTCCATAACTGTTAATTTGTAAATCTCCAATTTAGACCAATTTAATTTCAATCATCATATTTTCTATTTTTTAAAACCTTAAAGAATGATCAGCCTGCTTTACATGAGTCACTAAATATCAAAAATGACCTACTTTATTCCAATCATATTTTAAATCCCAAAAATTTCAACCATTTTTACCTTTGATCCATTTATTCATTTGAAAACCTATTTATAAAATATTTAATTGAATAATGTATTACCCTTTTTATATTGTTTATCAATTATCAATGCCTTTTCAGTTTTGGAGAGAGATTCAATACAGCTAAATTTATTAAATGATGTAAATCTTTAGTTTAGACCTTCCTGGATGTCTTAGTTAAACAACTTATTTTAAAACATATGAATAGAGATGCAACAATCCAACAATCACCTTCCTTAGTTTAAGAACACTATTTTATGTAAATTATTTGATAGTCAATATTTTGTTTAGTATATTCAATTTATACATTTTACTTATTTCATATCCAAATAGTTAGCTCATCTTTAATGCTGGTAATACACCGTAAAACATTTAATGTATTTTGATTTAACTTCAATAACCTCTTTTTCCGAAAAGTAAATGCAGAGATCCAAACTAAAAATTTGCCTATCAGATCAATTCCATTCATGTCCCCCTGTTTCTATAACAGAACAAATGTTCTGTCATAGAATACAATAAAAATCCTATACAACTCATTGAGATGAAATCCGCTATCACCACTAACTTTAGCCTCATGTAACACAGTTGGATGCAATTCAAACATGGTGTCCCAGTTACTGTTACAATCTGCACACCTCAATCAAAGAATTTAATGTTTGATTAAATTTATGAAATCAACACAGAACTTGGTGTCATTTGCTCAGTAAGTCAGTCTATAGACACCCATCAATCCACTTTAACACCTTAATTTCAAATTCCATTTAAATTTAGTTTTACTGAATGGTAGCCACTGTACTATGCAAATAAAAATTTAGATCATCTTCCCTAGTAGATGAAGCGTAACACACAATGCAATTCAGCTATAGTTAAAAAAATGTAATTGCAATCATTAGTCCCTGCCCATTCTTTTCAGGCAGGAAGGGAAAAAAACACATTAGCATTTTGTGAGACCAACAGAGTGAATCATGGAGGAGGAATGCAGTGTCGTAACAGTTGGTGCACACCAACCCCTAACTGCATCGTAAAACCTCTGACCCCAGGAGATGGGGTTGTCCTCAACACCTAGAATTACACTGCAGGGCTGCAGGACGTGAAGAAAACAGGGCGCCTCAGTGCTATATCTAAAATAAGAAGAGAACAATGGCATCACACACTACAAAAATTTAAAGAAAATAACTTATTCACCACTACCAAGTTGTGTTGGCACCCATTTCGTCTCCAACCTGCAGACTGAAGGGAACCCCAGGAGTGGGCTCTGGCGCCCAGGTCACATGATCAGAGGTGAGAATCCAGGATCAAACATGAGAACACACAACAGGACCACCGCTGAGCGACTTGCCATGCCCCAATTCTTTATCTGCTGAATCAGAACGTGTCTAGAGAAGCAGTCATTCCAGCAGTGCAGAAACATCTGGATACAGTCCCGCTTTGATGAACTTTGGTCAGCCTTTCGTGGTCGACAGAGCAGGACATAGAAACCAGCAGACCAGTCATCTACTGAAGCCCCCGTCCGGGTTTGTCTATGATCTTTGTGGTCCCGACTCACTGCTGATTTCCAGCCATAGAAGACTCCCACAGATAAAGCCTGAGTCCCTTTTGTTATCAGCCCGGCATGAAAAGCAACAGTCAAAGGAGACATCTGTTGCCAGGTCCTATGAGCAGCACTTTGCAATCACGTGCAGCATCATCATGTACAGCAGGAGAACAGTTCGCTTTCACTGACCTTCGTAATCGCTCAACAGCGTTTGGCTTTCATACAGCAGTCCAGCAGAAGATGGGCACAGTTCAGCATCATCATGTCTTTGTTCAGCAACAACAGCGGCCTGATGCGGTAATCAAGAAGATCCCTTCAAATACATCTTCCCATGATCTCTGAGCTCAAAAGACCCTTCCCCCAAGATTGCCATCAAGTCAGAAGGAAGGAGAACTGCCAGAGAAAAAATAATACAAAGTAATTAAAAAGCAAAACTTATATTTGCCACATTTTG